GGCGCAGGCGCGCGGGGCGCGGCGGCCGCGCGGTGCCCGGGTCCCGGTGCCGGCCCCCCGGCGCGCATCCTCCGTCCCGCTATATAACGGGGGGAGCCCGGCGCCGGGCAACCTCGGGAAAAAAAACCAGCACACGCACACACGCGCGGCGCCCTCGCACCGAGAGCTGTGCCGGGGTTATGAGACCGTCACCGCGCCGGAGAGGCTGAGCAACGGAGGTAACGGGAAACCGTGTTTTACCCCCGCGGGAAAAGGGTTCGCGGCGGCTGCCGGGGTGGGAGAGGACCCTGCGACGTCGGGGCGGACGGGACATGCCTCTGCCGGAGCGGCTTCAGATTTTATTGTCACTTGCGGTCGTTCTTGCTGGTGTGTGCGGGCACACCTGTATCCATCCATCCATCCATCCATCCATCCATCCATCCATCCATCCATCCACGTACGTGTGTGTACACACACACATGTATATGTACATGTGTGTGTGCGTCCTTACACACATTTAAATGTGTACATGTGCGTCCGTTTGTACAGACGCATATTGCATATGTTAAAGTGCTTCCACCGATGCTGCTCCGAACTTTCGGCTCCCTCTGCTCCGCGCAGCGCGATCGCCGCGGTCCCGGCGCAGGCTGTGCCTCGGCGGCCGTGGGCATTGTTTCCTCCCGGTGTGCCCGACGCTGCCGGGGAGCGCTCGCAACCCCACGCGGGAAGCGGGGGACCGATGCTCGTTTGCAGCAGAGGGGACGACGGAGACGGGAAGCCGGGGCCGGTCCCGCACCTGTTACCGCGGGCAGGGCACCCGGTGGCAGCCGTGCGGACCGAGGCGGGCCCGGGAGCAGGTGCTGGGCGCCCGCTGGGGCGGCGCAAGCCCCGCGCAAGGAGGCGGCGGGGGAGAGCCGCGGAGAGCGGCGGGGACAGGCACCACAGGCGCCATCCGTCCCTGCAGGTGCCCTGTGTGTGTGTCCCCCTTCCCCTATTCGGTAAAAATGTTTGAGGATTTTTTCCGGAGAAAAACAAAACAAAACAGCCCACGCTCGGTTCTCTTGCGTCGTGCCGGCCGGGCTGGCTCTCGCACGCATAATCTGCTTATATTCCCCGCTAATATCGGCGAGTTACATAATGGTATTTGAACATATGTCAACTTAATTACAAGGCAGAAACGCGGAGACAATTAAAAGTTTGCCCTGGCACGGTGGGGAACCCGGGCTTCCCTCGGGAGGGGGCGGCGGGACCGGGGAGTGAAGCGCGGGCCGCTTCTGCCCGCGGGCGGTGGCGCGGGGCCGCGGCCGCTGTTCCGGGTGCTGACACGTCTCTTTCTGTCCCCTCCGCCATGCAGAGGCTCACCATGACCAAGTCGTACAGCGAGAGCGGGCTGATGGGCGAGCCCCAGCCGCAGGGCCCCCCGAGCTGGACGGACGAGTGCCTCAGCTCCCAGGACGAGGAGCACGAGGTGGACAAGAAGGAGGAGGACCTGGAGGGTCTGCACGCCGAGGCCGAGGAGGACTCCCTGCGGAACGGAGAGGAGGAGGACGAGGAGGACGACTTGGACGAAGAGGAGGAGGAAGAGGAGGAGGAGGAAGACGACGACCAGAAGCCCAAGAGGCGGGGCCCCAAGAAGAAGAAGATGACCAAGGCGCGCATGGAGCGGTTCAAGCTGCGGCGCATGAAGGCCAACGCCCGGGAGCGCAACCGCATGCACGGGCTGAACGCGGCCCTGGACAACCTGCGCAAGGTGGTGCCCTGCTACTCCAAGACGCAGAAGCTCTCCAAGATCGAGACCCTGCGCCTGGCCAAGAACTACATCTGGGCGCTCTCTGAGATCCTCCGCTCGGGCAAGAGCCCGGACCTGGTGTCCTTCGTGCAGACCCTCTGCAAGGGCCTGTCGCAGCCCACCACCAACTTGGTGGCCGGCTGCCTGCAGCTCAACCCGCGGACTTTCCTCCCCGAGCAGAGCCAGGAGGTGCCCCCGCACGTGGCGGCGGCGGCGGCGGGCGCGCCCTTCCCGGCGCATCCCTACCCCTACCAGTCGCCGGGCTTGCCCAGCCCGCCCTACGGCACCATGGACAGCTCCCACCTCTTCCACCTCAAGCCGCCGCACGCCTACGGCGCCGCGCTGGAGCCCTTCTTCGAGAGCGGGCTGGCGGAGGGCGCCAGCCCCGCCTTCGACGGGCCGCTCAGCCCGCCCCTCAGCGTGAACGGCAACTTCTCCTTCAAGCACGAGCCGGCCGCCGACTTCGACAAGAGCTACGCCTTCTCCATGCACTACCCCGCCGCCGCCGCCGCCGCGCTGGCCGCCGCGCCCGCCCACGCCGCCATCTTCCCGCCCGCCGCCTCCCGCTGCGAGATCCCGGTGGACGGGCTGGCGCCCTACGAGGGCCACCCGCACCACGAGCGCGTCCTCAGCGCCCAGCTCAACGCCATCTTCCACGACTGAGCCTCCCCGCGCCGCGCCGCGGGCAGGGCCGGGGCCTCAGGCCGCCGCCGCCGCGGGCCCCCTCGCCCGCTGTCTTTGCTTCCGCTCCTCCGAGCGACGCTGTAAATTGGGGTAGGGGCATTGGGATCGCGTCAATTACCTGATCGGGATAACAAAATCACAAGCAATAATTAGGATCTATGCAATTTTTAAACTAGCGATGGGCCAATTACAAAATATATATGAAATCTATATTTTTCAACCAACGTTTTACTACTTGTTACCTTTCCCATGCTGAATTATTTTGTTGTGATTTTGTACAGAATTTTTAATGACTTTTTATAACGTGAATTTCCTATTTTAAACCATGCAGCTTCATCAATTTTTATACATATTGGAAAGGTAGAATTATATCTAATTTATACAAAATGATTTAACTAATTTAAACCAGCAGAAAAGTGCTTAGAGAAGTTATGTTGCCTTAGCACTTCTTTCCTTTTCAAATAGATGAAGAAGAAAAAAAAAATGCACAATCCGGGCAATTTCTTTCCCATCCAAGTCTCTTTTTTTCACTCTTTTTCTTTTTTCTTTATTTCTTTTTCCTTTACCCCGTACAATAAGAACCAGATCCCCTAGGTCTTGAGAAGATATAAGAACGATAGACTTATTTTCTATTAAAACATATCATTTCAACACATTACTTGCACAAACTTGTATATAAAGATTATAAGCAAATGCCAACACCCTTTTTAAATCGAAAGCTGCTTGACTATCACATACAATTTGCACTGTTTCTTTTTAGTCTTTGAACCCCTTGACATTTCGTGGTTTTGGTTTGTTGGATTTTTTTCTTGGTTTTGGTTTGGGTTTGTTTTTTTTTTTTTTTTTTTTTTTTTTTTTTTTTTTTAAGGATAACTTGAAGATGTTAATGTTTCCAGGCGCTATAAATGCATGATTTTATACATGTTCACAAAATCCGTGGTTGTCATATGCTCATCTTATAAATCTGAACCGAAATCTAATCAGGTTGTTAAAGTCGGGCTATATACCTATTGTAGTCGATTAGTACGGTAGCTTGAAACAAATTCAAACCATTTAATCCGTAATTAGAACAATAGCTATTGCATGTACAATGCAGTCCAGAATAAGTGCTGTTTGAAATGTAACGCTGGTTCAACTGGAATCAATCTGTACTGTAATTTTGTTTGTAATCCTGTATATTATGGTGTAATGCACACTGGGATTTTAGAAAAAAAAACAAACATCCATCCTTTGGCAACAACATAGTATTGAACATTTGGTCGAATGTTGCATTTTTCCTTAAATGTGATTTTTTTTTTTCTTAGTGTAAGTAATTCCTATGGGATTATTGTTTTATTCGGATAGCTCATGAAAGGTGCGACACTTATTATTTGTAGAATAAAATTGGACTACAAAAAGGACACGGATTCTTTACTTACCTCGAGGAGCACCCGGGGCGGGGAGGTGTTTGTTTACAGCGAACCCGGCTCTTTGCAATGCTGGTGTGTTGGGTGAGGGGAGCGGCGCCGGAGCGCGGGGAGCTGCGGCTCCGCTGCACCGGGCTCCCGGGCACCTCAGCCCCGGCCCGGCTCTCCGTGCCGGCCCCAGGGCTGCCCTCAGCCCCGGCCCCAGGGCTGCCCTCAGCCCCGGCCCCGGCCCCAGGGCTGCCCTCAGCCCCGGCCCCGCGCTCCAGCCCCGGCGTGGCCGCAGCAGGTTCGCCTTCCCCCCGCAAGGCAGACCTGGACCCGCGCTGCCGATTCATCGTCCCCTCCTCTTTCCCAGACGGGAAACGTGTTCCTTTAATCTTCACTGATTACATTTGAGGCTTAAGAAACCCGGAGACGCAACCTGCGGGAGAGCAATTCCCCTAATGACCAGGAACAATTATCAACAGGTCTTTGCCTCCCACCATCAGAAAGAGATTTAAGACGTTACCTGAAATACTTTATATGAAACGTGTAACAAAGCGCAGGTATTGCATAAATATTTCAGCTAAACCCAGCAGAAAGTAAACAAGCTTTCCTAAGGATGAGGGCATTTTTTTCCCCCAGGAGAAATCAAGCTTCTGGCGCCTACTTTAAAGGTGTTTGTAGCTACGGAAATCCAACGTGTAAGCACAGCAATCCTGTCCTAGCAGTTCAGCAGCCCCTGCTGCCAGGCTTCCCCGTTAAAAACATGCTAAAATTTAATTGCCATGCTGACTGGTGCATTTTGAAGCATCTCCGTGCATTTCGCCAGAGCTTGTAGCTCCACACTTGAAAACTGTTGCTGAATCTGAAATGAAAGAACGCAAAAGGCAACTTTTCAAGCACACATTAACCTTTCCCAGCCAGTGGCAATACAGGTAAGTGTGCCCTGGATAACCCGAGGGGGATAAATGAATGACGATTTTTCAGATAAAATTGAAAAAGCTGACCCAGGCTTGCATGCCTTTTGGTTATGCGCCTTCTTCCTAAATACAAGGATTCTTCTAGTCAGTCAAGGGGCAACTCACATGCCACCATCTTTTATTCAAAGGCAGGCACAGATGTTCCTTCTGCAGGGGAGGTTTTAATTTATGAAAATGATATTGTTTATGCATGAATGCACTCTGCATAACACACAGTACTTCCATCTGATGAGAGAAATACCACAGAACCAGTGCCAATGTCAGGAACATATTCTGCAAATTTAGTCGCTTAAATGTTTAATGAATATTTGGAAGGCATTTCCAAAGCACAAGAAACCTTTTCAATTACCTTTTCTTTTTCCACTGTTGATAACAAAATTCAACTCTTCCAGCCAATGTAACCTACTCAAAAGATCTACCTAGGCTATCTCAGAATTTGCTACTGAAGTAGTGTTTTAATGTTATGAGCAATCTAATAAGGAAAATTAATTAGGCATTTTGGTAACTAGAGGCTCTAATTTACAAATCACTTGCGAGTTTTCTTATTTCAATTAGTTTTGGGTGGTTTTTTCCCTATCACCACCTTTATAAAATACTGGAGACCTTCCCCCCTCCCCCACTTTGCTGATGCTTGTGATGTCTCCATGATATTTCTTTCATATTATTAACATGAAGCCAAATGTTGAAATTTCTGCTCCTGACTCCCACAGGAAGGTCTATCAAGGTCTCTTTTAATGGAAAGAATTACTCACACTGTTCCTGTCCTATGAACATATCGCTAATTAACTAAGGCTGTAGTGGGATTATCCAACTTCCGCATGCAGAGAAAACTCTGGGGTTGATTTGTACCCACACACACACATTGGGTCAGCCAGCACAGGCCTAAAACTCTATTTTTAGGGCTGCTTGTGACCAATGGCCTTCCCTTCTTCTTTATGACAGGCTTCTGAGAGCAGAAATTGCTCTGCCAGCAGTGCCTGCTTGAGGTTAAATCTGCAGGTACAGTATACAAGAAACAGGCATGACTTGCAGCTCTTCCCTTCTCGGTGCTCTGGAACAGCAGAAGAGGTTCTGTGGAGGTTGTGGACCCACTGCCGACTGTGACAGACACAGCTGAGGAGTTTGAAATGGTGGAATTCCAGGTTACATCCACAAGATGCCTGGGAGGCTGAAGCCTGTGGCTTTACCTAGCCCAAATGAACAATGTGCCTGTATAACATCAGACCTTGGCCCAGGGCACTCAGAAAGAACCTCCAGGTGAAGGGAAGTCGATTCAAGGAGAACCAAGATTCCTGAATTCACCAGAAGAAAACAGAGAGCCTCTTTCTCCAAAAGATACTGTTACAGAATATTAATAAACTAACATGGAGAAGCAATATGCAATTCCAGGGGTAAAAAGGATTAATACAAATAATAATAAACTAAGTACTGAGAGCAAGAAAAACAATTCTTTTCTATCTTCTGTAATAGTAAAGAAATCTTGCAATTATTTCAATATTTTAACTGATTAAAACTAGATCCACCATGACCTTATCAATTGCTTTTGACATATTAAAAATGTGAGTCTCTTTTTTAAAAAAATACAATACTTCTGTTCAGAGAACCACCTTGTCAAACGGTTTTAAAAATTACACAATTACATTTCATTCTCTTTTATATATATATATATATATAAAGTATCTTAAGATTAAACAAATCAAACAAATCCCACTAATTTCTCACTTGTTTCTATTGAGGAAGAACAGAAATGAAACTTGGAGTTCTGCCTGGTGCTGTATCAGGCAAAATATGCAGAAATTTGTCTTCATTTCTATTGACCAAGATGGGTTGTATGGTAATTATTTCAGAAATTATAAATGGTTTACATTCTTTCCTTAGCCGAAAATCCCATATTACAAAAAACCCTAGAAAAATATAGCACATAAATACATGCTGAAACAGTGAGCTGAAGATCTACAAATACACTAATATCTACGTAAGTGTTTTTTTAAATAATTCATATATGTATTTAACAAACTGTCAGAAGCTATGCAATACAAAATTAAAACTGACAGTGCTCTCAAAGCATTCTCTTAAGTATTTAGGTTGCCTACAGGGTATGTAAAACATAGAATATCAGCCCTAGTTTTCAGTTCCCTAGCTTGTAGTAGTTTGCAGCATAGTCAACTGCATTTTGCATGAAATAAAATAGAAACAACTAATATTTACATGTTTACCAACACTGCACTGTGACAGAGCAACAGAAAATAAGATTCAGAGGCAAAAAATTAGCTTAAAAAGATAGCATACCAACCTTAATGCAAAGAAAATACAATATATTCTGGTCAATACACTCTTCTCATTTTATATTCTTATTACCACATTTTCTCTATTGTTCTGATTAAGATTAATTTCAATTCATGGGAGTATCAGGAATGGCTGTAACTTCAGACTGCATTTCTGCAGGTTTTTGTACCTGCATAATAATTTTACTTGTTCTCTTTGCAAAGGTTTGTCCATTTCCTTACCGACTTTTCTTTCTTTGTTCTTTAGGCCTTCCTTCTTTTGAAAATTTGAAGATGTATAGCAAGAGTTATGCTCTCTTCTACTGACCATTTATACCATTTTCCTTCAGAATAATTTATGACTTTGTTTATCATGCAAAAAATTTGGTGTTCTGCTTAATGTCACTTCTTCATGGGAAACCAACTCAACAGAGCTGAACTAATATTAAGAGTTACAAAAGGTTATTTTCTAAAGTAGAAATGTAAGAAGGGAGCATACTTAGGAGGGCTAATTTCTGTGAATGAACAGCTGAAGTATAACTAACTATACACGAAACCCTCATTGTATAAACACACACTGTAGCCAGAAAAACATAGAAGCCAAGGGTGTGCTGCCAACTTCAAAATTCAGGTTTCTCCAGAAGGAAATCTCCATTAGCTGCAGAAAACAAGTCAGCTACCAGAAATGTTCATGCAAAAGCTCTGGAATGGAGACAAGATATTTTCCCCAGAGTGTCCCCTCATTGCTTCTTGTCTAAATTCCTGTTCCTTAGCTTGAACATCACATTTCTTATGAATCCAAAACTGGCCTACTAACCTCATTGCATTTTTACAGACACTTTTTTGAGGTGAGAGAACATATTTTCAAATAGCAAGGTTTACCTGCTTGCCATCCTTCAGTTAACACTAGCTGTACTTCCCTCACTCACTATTTCTGTCACAGTTGTCCTACCTCTTTCTTCACAAGGTTCTTTTGGAAAAGAGTTCTGAGGCTCTCACTTCTCCTTAGCATCTAGAGAGTGAGGGATGATTTCCAGAAAGAGACAGAGAAACCTTTCTGTTGGTTAAGGAGAGCTTAGCTCCTCTCCTTGTTTCCTGCTACCTCTTCTCTTGGTCTGTAGGATGCTTCCCTCTCCTAGGCCATCTGGTTGTGCTCAAGACCAGCATCCTGACCTGGGACAAAACCTCCCCTGGGTCCACATTGCTGAGAGCAAACTCTAAGACACCACAAGGGAGATGTCTCCTCCCTCATGTAAGATCTGTGATTTAGGAGTGGCTCTTAACTGTGGTGTCTGCCTTCATCTTGCAGCCATGTCTGTGCCATATCCAGGTCCTGACCCACAAACTCGATATTCTTGTCTGACTTTGGACCTGCCTTGATAACACAAGCTTCCCTGGTGGCTGCTGGGCTAGCACTGACACAGGCTACTGCCACCTGACCTGACCTAATGACTCTGCTTTTCAGCTTGATGTTGGACCTGCCTTCATACAAGGGGTTTGTCTGGCTGTCTGGGCTCTTGTTGAACTTAGCTACACACAGTTCTGTTTACCTTGGTCAGGTGTACGGGATCCTACCTGACTTGTAATCACTCTAAACCCCATTTCCTTTATGAAGCATCCTTCTCCTACTGTTCCTCAGAATTCCTCCTCTTGTGTTTCTGACTGTAAGGCCCATGAGGCCGCTACTGAGCCTCAGATACCCTGAGCATCCCCACCTGCAACCCCATCACCCAACCTACACATGAGCCTGGAGCTCTATTCAAGTTCCTTC